CTGCCTGAGTGTTTTTGTTTGTTTGTTTGTTTGTTTGTTTTGGTGTTTCTTTGGTTGGTTGTTGTCAGCACTCATGTTTGCTACCCAAGGAGCAAAGATCACACATGGTGATCAATCCAGGACAACTAGCATCTATACTGGGGAGGTGTGTGTCCTCTAAATCCACCCACCACACGCACCACGCCTATGCCTCATGCACATATTTCAGCCTCTGTGTCTCCACATGACCTGTGTGGAAAGTTGCTGACACACAATGCTCACTGGAAGTGTCCAGTAATGACTGCACACCTCTGTGCAAAGAGTAGAATTTGACCATGTAAATTTGGGAAGTGGCGGGCTGGATCCATGGCCTAGTGGTTAAAGCAGCCAGATCCTGCTTGGTCACTCAAGGGGTTTCAGTCCCAGATCTAGTTACTTGAAAAACATGCAGGATGTGTACGCATATGTGCCCAAAATCCCAATGGGAGGAAGAAAGAGAAAGAGGACAAGGGATTGCAATATGGCCATTCCCCATGAAGGGTGTTTTTCCTCTTCCCTTTCTCTGTCTCTCTGATGACTGTATGTGCCCTATAGCAAATAAATAAATATAAATAAATAAAATAAAAATTGGAGATGTGGCAAAGAAGTGTTTTTCTTCATGTACTGAGTGAAGTGGACCTAAATGATACTTTGAATGATATAAGAAAAGAATTTTAGTTATAGCAAGAGCATGAACAAAATTAAGTTACATATCCTCATCTCCACACTAAAGTGTTCTGAGGACAGACTCTCTTATATAGTTTGGGGATCCCAAGCACATAACAACAACTAGTAAATATCATTGCAATGGCAATTAGGCTAAAAAGAAATTTTTGCCAATTTGGCTATAACTCTGTGGGGACCCCGAGATTAGACCCAGTGTTCAATGAGTCTCGGGTGGACTTGGAGGACTTCTCCTGCTCCCATGTCACAGAAGTCCCAGAGCCTCCTTATTGTCCTTCAAATGTTGATATGAACTCCAAATGAGAATTCTTCAGGATGGGTCCTAAGGGACTAAGTGGGTCTCAACATTGCGAGGAGTCTAGCAGGTGTTTGCTGACTAGAGTTATTCATGTACTCTGTGTTCTTGGACAAACAACAATTGAACCTTTAAGTCTTTGTTTCTGAACCAATGGTGACTCGTGTCAATCATTCAGAACTGAACAAGTGTCAGCATTCATTTGGATAAAGGACTTAAATGGAAACTTGAGAGGGGATGTTTATCCTGAAAAAGCAGCCTCCCCAACTCTATTCCAAGGAAGGGTGCTTTTGGTTTAGATGACGTTTAGGCTATGTGTTTCTAGTTTACAAATTGTTACTGAAAAATTAAAATCTTCTTTACTTCCAAATCTGTTTTCAGAAAAAATTTGTCAACACTGAAAGAGCTCAGTATGTTCCATTCCTGAAAGGCCCTATACCCAGAAACTGGCCAGCATCCCCAGTGGGGTCCCCCCAAGGCAAATCCCCAATCCTCAGTGTCTGGTGGATTCTAAAACTTTGCTAGAGTTCATCAGGACAATACAATGGGTCCCTGTGGATGGCTCCTTAGGATTCCTGCCCAATCTCAGCAAGTGTGAGCCCAGAGGGGTGAAACCCTCTTCTGTTGCCGCTCTCCAAGAGAGCCCTTGGGACATTGGGACTAAAGAGAAGAATTTGGAGAGCTTGACATCAATAGCAAAAACAAACATGGAGGTAATACTCAAGTATCTAAGCATTTGGGATAATTTAATACATAACCTACTGATACCAGTGTACAGATGCAAAGTGTTGATAGCATACTAAGTAATTACTATTAAAATTTACTTTAAAAATATTTTAACATTAGGTAATTGTAGAGCCAGGGATGTTGTTACATACACTATCTTTTTTGTGTTCCAAAGGGAAATTAAAATTCCTTTTATAAGCTTCCTAATATTTTATTCATATATACAAAATCTCATGACTTCTATCACAAATGTTACAATTTTACTGTGCACAAATGAACACACCTTTTTCAATAATTTGCACTACTAAGTTCATAAAAGTTACTACAAATATTGCGAACCCAATAAAAACAAGACCCTGGCATTTGATAGAAAGTGGACGAATATAAAAGATTTACTGCTGAATGAAGTAAGTCAGGCTATGAAAGAGAGAGATTGTATTAAGTAGGTACTTACTATGTACCTACTATTCACACTCTATGGCCCAAACTGAAAGCTTAGAGGATACAGAAGCATGGAAAATGGTTATGGACACTGGAGATGATGTGGGAAGAAGGTGGGAGATGGGAGAGAGTGAGAGGAATGGAATCAAGGAGAAAAATGGAGAGGCAACACATTTGAGGGACACAGAAATGGAAGATTGTCTGTTGATTATAATATATATGATATCGTCAACTGAGCTGGTGGAAAGTATGTTCGTGTTGGGTAAATTCACTTTACAAGCTATAATGATGTACAGTAATTGAATGTATAAAATAAATTTAAATTTAAATTTAAAAACACAATGATATAGCACAAAGTGTTTTTAAAAGTCAAAATTGTAAAGGCCTGTGTTTATCCAAATGTGCAATACTTTTTAGCGTCCCTGACTGGTATTTTTGTTTGGAATTAATCTGATTTTAGAACTTTAGTTAACTATTTTCTACTTTTTTTGAAGAGGTTTTTGCTGTAGGGCACGTGCGCTCAACAGAAAGAGAGAGGCAGAGAGACAGAAAGCGAAAAATCACCCCCAGGGGGGGATGGCCATGCTGCAATCCCTTCTCCTCCATTCTCCTATTGGGATTCTGGGAATGCACACATGTGCCTGGTGTGAGTTTAAGCCACTAGGTCCGGGACTCGAACCGCAGTCGGCTACATGGGAGTTCAGCGACATAGCCATTATGCTAACTGCTGGTCCCCATTATTTTCTACTTTAGAAGACACTGAGAATTTACAGAGTAAGTTTTACACAGCTAATCTTAAATGTGGAGGAAGAGTAGAGTGTAG